CCAGGAGAATAGCCTGCAGTTCTTCATCCATGGAGTGAAAGCCCTCTTGATACAATAGAAATTCCAAATAAGTTACTAAGTCTTTTGCATAAACACGTTTCCTGAGTTTTATCCGTAGGAGATTCCTATGAAATTCTAAAAAAATTTAAAAAATGCCGTCACTCTGGCAGTTTTCCTTTTCCGTCCTACCGGTTATTAATATATCATTGAATTTTACTACAACTCCTGGTATTCCCAACAGTAGGTTCCATCAACCATTGAAATAACGCTTGAGCCGTTGCGATTCGAAATGGCACTCGGTCTTACTCGGCAAAGTTCCTTCGTTGTATTCATGATAAGGATCAATGAAGATTGATCATCCACGGGTACTTTTTAGACAAAACCAATTCTTAAACTTAATTTCAAATTATAAAATAGATGAAGAGATCTAAAATAAAAATTTTAGAACAATAATTGAAAATCGCAAAATCATTTCTAAACTACAAATTTGGAGATAGAGATTTTTGCTTCAGACAAAGTTTGTTTTACAAAATTAACTATATAAATAAATGAATAAGCTAGTGGTGTTATAGAACGGCACAGACTTTCTTACCCTAGTTAGTTTTCTATTCTTTCTACTATTGACGAGATTTTCCGATATGCGTCATTATCTTCTCAACTGATTTCTTTCGTCGCCCGAAAAACAAACATTTTTCTCATTTTCTTAATTACGCGGCTGCGTAATGCTAGAACTGAAACCACCATACACTTATTTCTATTATAGAAGTATTCATTGCACGACGTAACTGTATAGCTGTGGTAGCTGTTAGGTTGGGGGGGGGGAGGTGTATGGCCTGAGCTTTAGGGGGTCAAGATGGCTGGTTCGAGTCTTAACCGGGAAATGTTATTTGTGACTTGTGTGTTGTCGCAGGTAATAATTGTCTATTACAGAAAAATATTGAAAACCATTGGAAGCAATTCTAATTGCAAATACTATAAATCAAAGTAAATATACTGGAAGTGTCTGCACGTGATTTTTGTATTTTCTACTTATAAACAATTTTTCACTTTTTTTTTAAAATTTTAAAACGTGTGAACCATCAAATCAATCGTTGTCTTTATGCAATTATGACTATTATAGAAGTGCCAATTCTCTGTATATCCCAAGTAGCCGAAGTGATTAAATGTCAAGTTCGGACTCAGCGTTTCGGATGGAAGGGCCGCTGGTTTGAGACTGGCTTGGGGGTAGTTATTCGTCATGTTGACACAGAAAACGATTGAAATGTTCAAAACCTTTATTGAAAATCATTTGAAGCTATTCCACTCGCATATATAATCTAGTGAAATTGTAAATAAAGTAGAAGTGTCTGTAGTATGTCATCTTCCTGTTTTGAAATTTTAAAGAAGTTTACAACTCTCTTGTGCTATTTGTAAAACGTATGTTACATCAAATCAATTGTTCAATATAATATTGAAATCAATATATTGCTGAGTGTTTAGAAACATTGCGAGAAAGTATGTACTTCGAAGTTCATCGACTGATATGTATTAATATAGACAGAAATGCGGTATATTGTTACATAACCGTTTCTAAGAGACGAGAAAGTATGTACTATTTATAGCACCACTAATTTAAAATAAATTTAGACTTAAGATAACCTAAAGGACGCTTAAGATAATGTCGCAAGTATAATGTTCGTTGAAATGCCTGATTTTGCGAAAATAAAAAAGTAAATAATTTTTTGGCGTCTTCTTACAACTACAATTATGAAGATACAATTTTTTTCTTAACGAAATGTGGTCATCAAAAACAGATGTAAAAACGTCATGTTAATTTTTTTAAAGTATGAGTAATTTTGTGTAATTTGGCGCCTAACAAGCGTCCGCTCGAAATTAACTACGCGTGAACGTGAACGTAATTCCAGGCAATTGGATGCTTTGCTAGAATTTGAATATTATTTCATATTATTTTGTTCGTTTCTTATATTCGGCCTTTTGTTATCGATTTTCACATTAATCTTTTAGAAATTATTTAAAACATGTTTGAAGCATATGAAATAAAAATTGCTAGCCTTCAGGGAATATTAGAGTGCAATGTATCAATTACTCGAGAGCTAATTTTTGTAAAGCACGTGTTATTGTTGGGAAATAATTTACCTGCTTGAAAAGCAGTTGTAATTGTCAAATGTATGTTGATATTAGCTTAGAAATATTTAGTTTTTTCACCAAATATGGTACGATTTGTAATGAGTTTTTTAAAAACTGATGGCTGAAATGAGTGAATTTGCAGAGAAATTGTTTTGTAAATAGTGTTACATAAGTAAGGCGAAAAAGTATGTACTACACCATCACCACTGGTTACTTTATTATGCAATTTGTATTTTTAATGTATTGAAGTAACCTCTTTCAAGCAATGCACGAACCTTACTTGAAATTAATCCAGTTATGATAAATAAATAAAGATATTGTCTGGTATCAATACAAAGTATTGATACCAGACAATATCTTTATTTATTTATCATAATAAAAAGGTATCTACCTCACCAGCGATCCAATTCATAATCCAGTTGTTTTCTCTCTTAATACGATTTAAATGTAATATGAAAGAAACATTTTAAAAAACTATTATCATAATTTTGTACGAACTTTCATTACGTTTTATCTTACCACCGTATGCTGCATTACGCAACAACGTAGCAGTGTATATTTGATACGTTCATTGTTGAATAGCGACATGATGGAAAAGATTAGGCGGGTTTACGTACTTAACGCCAGTGTAAAAATATCCTCTAACGCGTGGTGTAGCCATTATCCCTGTTTTGTGGCTCCTTGATACCGAAAAATCAGTTGACGGCAATACGTCCTTGAACACTACTAAGCCCGCTATACACGGTCATTTTTGCATCATTTT